CGTCGGGGTGGGCACCACCGGGGAGGCAGCAGGGGGAACGGCGGGGGGCGCGGGAGAGGGGCGGCCCGTGGGCTGCGGGGGGATCAGCTTCTGAGGAGTGCTTGTGGGGGCAGCAGCGTTTGCCATGGGTCCTGCAGGGGAGGCAAGCAGCAGGCACCCTGGTGCGTTCTGGGGCCGATTTGAGCTACGCAGGGGACAGCCGCCCCCTCCTCAGCTCCTCAGCTCCCCAGCTCCCGTTGTGCGCCAAGCTGCCACACAGCATCTCACTCAGGGGCCCTCTACCTCCTGCCACGGGGTCCCCACCTCGAGATCACAGCCTCAGCCCTCATGTCCCCAAGCCCTCTAAGGACCCACGGCCCTGCTGCAGGGTCTACGCAGCCTGGGTGCTGAGCCCAGGGCCAGTCCTCCTACGCATGCCTCTACTCTGGCTCTAAGTGACTCTGCAGTGCCTGTCACCAAACCTCAGGCTCCAGGACAGCGGGACACCCGTCCATCTGGCCCACGGCCTCAACCCCAGGTGTGGACTCTAATTCTTCCTGACTGATCAGACTGACGAGGGGACCACGGGACCAACCCCGAGCTCTCGGGCCCGACCACTAAGCCCAGGGAAGACCGCGGGAAAAAGGCCACCGAGCTGCAGTTCAGGCGGACCAGCCCGGACCCCGTCTCCCTGACAAGGCTTGTCTCGAGGCCTGCCCAGCCCAAGCTCAGGACGGGGAGTCGGGGAATCAGAGGTCAGGGCGGATGTGCCACTAGGACGAGGGACCTACCTTCAGGCCAGGGCTTGGGAGGCCCTCCGGGAGGCTGGCCGGGCATCCCAGGGGGCACACCTGAGGGTCCTGGGGGAGGCATGTTGGGCCCTCCCATACCTGCACGCGGAGAGAGAACAACCAGGAGAAAATGAACACGTCTGTCCACACAGGCTCCGCCACAGAGCTGCCACGCTCACCCTCGTCTGTGGAAACCGAAACCAGCGGCTTCGAGGTGGAGATGAGAGGGCGCCACCGACGGAAATAAAGTTGCACACAGGGAGCAGGCACGACTCCGAGTGTTATAAAATACAGCACTGGGGGACCAGCAGGTGGCGTGGTGGTTAAGGCGCTGGACGCTCCCACACGGCCGACCATAGTTCGAGCCCCAGACCTGGTGGCTTGTTTTCTTACTCCCTCCCTCCACCAGTGTCTCTCTCTGGTCAAATTAAAATAAGTTAATGAATAAGTAAAAATTAACTAATTCTTTTCTGCAGAGAGGTTTTTGCTGTGGGGCACATGCGCATGCCAGAGAGACAGAGAGAAACAGAAAGAAATAAAGAGAGAAATCACCCCCTAGAGGGGCTGGCCATGCCACAATCCCTTCTCCTCCACTCTCCTCTCGGGATTTTGGGCACGTACACACACAACCCATGTGTGTTTTAAGCCACTGGGTCCGGGACTTGAACCGCGATCAACTACGTGGAAGTCCAGCAATGTAATCATTACGTCATCTGCTGATCCCTAAATAAATAACTCTTTAAAAATAAAATAAATAATTAAGAATTAAAAAAAAAAATACAGCCCTGGGACATCCCCATGGCCCAGGGGTTACGGGAGCTGGACCCACACGGCTGGCCAGTTTGAACCCCAGCCCGAGCAGCCTGAGAAGCACGCCAGGCACGTGCGTGTGCACCAAAATCAGGAAAGGAGGGGGAGGGACCAGCACGTGGCATCGCGGTTACGTCGCTGGACTCCCACCTGGCCAGCCACGGTCTGAGTCCCAGACCCAGCAACTGAAAGCTCATGTCGGGCACGCATGTGTGCGTGCACAAGATCCTGAGAGGAGCATGGAGGAGAAGGGACTGCGGCGTGACCATCCCCGGAGATGCTTTCTCGCTTTCTGTCTGTCCCCCTGTAAGCGCACACGCCCTACGGCAGAAATCTCTCTTTAAAAAGAAAGGGGGAAGGGACTGCAGCACGAGCAGGCCCAGGGGGCAGCGCCTTTGCCCGCTCCTCCTCCCTTCTGCTCTCTGGCGAGCACACGTGTCCCCTGGCAGCTGACGATGATGGCGGAGATACGGCAGGGAGAAGTCACAACTCCCTAACTACCCCAGAGACACCGAGGCAGGACTCAGAGTGTTCACACACGGAGGGACACAAATCCTCGAGGTGACAGCTGCCACCCACGCTAGTTAATATTCGTGGTCTTCCAGTACCGAAACGTAACACTGTGAGCCACGACCATGCAAAATGGCCACACGTCCATCCAAAGCAGACAAACAGGGCGGCCCTGGAGTGGTGGTCAGGAACTGAGCAGAAACCGGACCCGCGTGGCTGACCAGGCCGAGTCCTGCGGGCACGCTCCCTGGCTCAGGACACGTACCCATCAACGGCCCTGGGGTGGGGCCCGTGAAATCAGCACCGACCCGACGGCAGCCCTGAGTGCCGGGACGGAAACGGGCAACCCCGGCCCCCGCCTGCACGGCCCATGCTCAGGCTGAGGGGCTCCGGGGCCCTGCCCCATCCCGAGGGCCGCAAGCAGCAGGACGTACCGTGAGGCGGGCTGTAGTTTGGAGGTGCTGGGCCGGGGCCGGGGCCAGGGCCGGGGCCGGGGCCAGGGCCGGGGCCGGGGCCAGGGCCGGGGCCGGGGCCAGGGCCGGGGCCGGGGCCGGGTCCTGGGGCAGCCACGGAGGGCGGAGGTAGCGTTGGCACCTGCTGCTGCATCCCGGGCATGGGCCGCTTCCCCTGCACGGCCATCTGCAGGTGGTCGGGAAGGGGCTGGCCCCTGACCAGCATCTTGTAGGCCATGATCTGAGCACGGAGTTGGTGCAGCTGGTTCTGGTTGAACGGGGTGGGCCCCCGGTTCTGCTGCCCCAAGGCCTGGGGGTCGGCACCATCCAGGGGGGCCCCTCCTGGACCGGATGACATCTGGGGGCCTGAGGATGGGCCACTGGCTGGAACTGGGCTGGAGGCATGCTCGGAACCACCCAAGGGTGACGGGTAACCTGCGGAGAGGCCGGTCCTTGGTCACTCAGCAGCGGATGGCGACCTGCATGGCGGCTGTGCTCTTGTTGGGCGAACGGGGCACGGCGCGCCCCGGGTTACCCGGCCTGTGCCGGTGTGGTCGGCCTGCGCGTCAGTGGTGAGCCTGAGAGCAGCCGTGTGATGTCCAGGCTGCTCGCCCAGGCCTGTCCCCCCACTCACGTCCTGACCTGCGAGCCCCAGTGTCCCAGCCCTGCTAGAGCCGTCTGCTCTGCCACTCCCTGTGGCCCCGTACGGGGACGCCACCTGCCAGGCTAGGTCAGCCAATGGCCTGGGCCCCCAAATTGTGTTTCAGACAAGCTCCACGGGGGGCCCCAGAGCCACTGGCCAGTGGACCCGCCCACATACCAAGCCCTGGGCACGGGTTCCGTCCCACCAGCGCTTTCTCCAATGGCTGATCCAAGGTGAGGAGCCAGGACAGAGCTCCACCCAAGCTCCACCCGGACAGCTCTGTGGGAGGGGTCTCGGGCCCACCTGTGGGGGCCTTGAGGACAACCCCGGGGCCCCTGGGACATGACCCCAGGACGAGAGGCGGGCAGACGTACCTTGGGAGTGCTGGTCCATGGGGCTGGGCGGGGGCCCCATGCCCGCGTGGCCGCCGGGCCGCATGCCCACTCCCTTCATCTGGCTATAGCGCGGGTCGTCCGACATGCCCTTCTCGTGCATGGACTCCATGGGCTACGGGGCGACAAGGGGGGTCAGCGAGGGCATGGGAAGAGGCGGCCCAGCAAAGCACAGCCTGGGACAAGTGCGGAGTCTCTGAGGCTTCGACCCGCTGCCTCCCTGGCAGCTACTGAAGAGCCAGCATGACCAGGCGGGCGAGCTCGGGGCCCCGACACCCGCAGGCGGTGCTCGGCAGGAAAGGGACAGCCGGACGAGCTGGGAGGGGCAGGAGGCCGAGGAGGCAGCCAGGCCGCACAAGGAGAGGACACGTGGGGCCAGGGAGCGGTTTCAGCAGGGACACAGGCTCATCACCGTCACCAGTAGACGGACCACGAGTGTCGGGGCTGAGGACCTCACTCCCCGGGGGACTGGAAACCAGAGCGCAGTGTCTCAGCTGTGCCTAGCATCAGCCGCTCTGCACCCCCACAGCTGCCACCTGGGAGGGCGGTGTCCACAGCACTCCGTCCCCGGCTAGGCAGACCCTGCGCAGCCATGACACGTGCTCCCTCGAGACGCGGGGCGGGGGCACCTCCCATGGGAACGGCTGGTGAAGGGCACCCGGACAGGCACCCTGCTCCGGGCACCGGCTGGGCCCCTTACAACCCACGTCCTGCTCTCGGGAACGGATGTCCTAGCGGGTGACCAGGCCGCATAGAACCAGAGTGCAGCGTGGCCCTGAGAGAGGAGGGCTGGGCGGTCCCGCTCCCTCCCGCCCAGGCGGTAAGGGCTGCATGGCGGCCTGGCCCCAGCAGAGCTAGCGCGGGGCCAGACCCTGTGTTCCCGGGCCAGGCAGGGGTCCACGTGCCTGTCCCCTCAGGTCACGGTGGTGGGCCCCGGAGTGGGCATCTCACCAGCCCAGGCCTCCTGATCAGGCAGCTGTGGCCAGAGGCTGCCTGCAGTCCCAGAGCAGGGCGGAGGGCGGTGAGGTGCCTGGCATGAGGCAGGAGACACGGGTGCGAGGGGCGCGGGGCTCCCCACCTTGTGCATCGGGTGCATGCTGTCCTGAGGGTACCCTCCTGGTCCCTGGGTCTGGATGGGGTGTCCTGCTGAGGGAGGCCCCGGGCTGGGCCCCATCATGCTGTGGGCAGAGCCCGGGGAGGGACCAGGGCTCGGGCCCAGCATGGCTCCAGGCGAGGGGCCGGGGCCCGGAGAAGGGCCCGGCCGAGGAGTTCCACCCAGGGGTGGGTCTGGAGTGGACATCTTCACGGACGCTGCCGATGCTGGTGTCCTGCTGGAAAGAAGCTCCCATCAGTGTGTGGTACGGACACTAGTGGGGGGACCAGGGACAGTAGGAGGGCGTTTGGGATTCAGCTACGGATGACCCACAGCTCCTGCCCGGACCTGGGCTTCCTGACTCCCCTGGGTGGAGGGACACCCCTCCTCTCTCTGGTCAACCTTAATTTAGGAAAAGAAAAAAAAAAAAAAAGACAATAAATAAAATGTTAAAAAATAATAATTGAAAACAAAAACATCCTGGGCATGTGTATCTCTTCTCCAAAACGTCAGAGACTGGAGAAGCAGAAGGAAGGGACTGCAGCAGGACCGTGCCCACCAGGGGGTGCTTTCTCCCTCTCCTCGCCCCCATCTGTCTGCCACGGGAGAGCACACGTACCCTTACGCGAATTTCGCGTCGTTCTTTATTTCTTTTTGTTAGAAGGCAAGAGAGGAGAGAAATCACCCCTTGGGGGTATAGCCACACCAACTTTGGACAAGTATGTATGCACCCAGCGAGATCTGCAAGCCACCAGTTCGGGACTCGAACCGTGAATCCCACAATGTAAGATCCAGTGCCTTAACCTTCATGCCACTTGTTAGCCCAAGGAGCTATGAGTCATTTCATTCATCAGACGCTCCCTCCCTTAAAGGGGGGCCAGCAGGTACGGCATGGTGGTTGAAGGTGCTGAATTCTCACATGGGACTCCCGCGTTCAACTCCCGGACCTGGCAGCTTGCTTTCTCCCTTTCTCTCTCTCTCTCTCTCTCTCTCTCTCTCTCTCTCTCGGGTCAAATTACAAAATAAATGTAACACATGGAATTAAATAAGTAAATATTTTTAACAGAAAGGAGAAACCACTGAAAGGCACCTACAGTCTTCACTAAGCAGAGGGCCTGGAAAGCCAGGCCAAGTTCTCTGTCCTCAGGGAGTTCTCTTCTAATCACCAGGGACAACACGGTGTCTACACTGCAAGAAAACACCAGCGTGGACACTCCCCCACGTAGCCGTTAGACGGATGTGTTTCAGTCTCTTTCAACCGAGACCCAGCGTCCCACGTGACGCCGCAGAGATAAACACCGTGCTGACAACATCTACAAACCCGTCCGGGCCGCGCCCTCCCTGCAGGCAGGCTCTCTTCCTGCGAAGGGCTGGTGAGGTCCGAGGACAGAGGTCACGCCCCACCGCTGGCCTGAGCACAACGCGTGACAGAGAGGACGGGAGAGCGGGCTCCACGACAGGGTCCCACGGGGCGCGAGAGTGGCCGAGAGGAGACGGGACAGGCAGACTGCACAGCCGCCAAGCATCACGCGTGACCGGCCCTCCCGGCCCCTCCCGCGGAGGACCACTGACCAGCACTCGCCCGGCACCAGTCAGGCTCCGCCAGGCCACGCGGGTTCCGGCCTGGTGGAGCAGGCAACTGGAGACAGAGACGAGCCCGCAAGCGAGGATGAGCCAGTGTCAGGACTATCAGCTCCCACGGAGTCGGCTGCGGTTCGCGTCCCGGACCCAGCGGCTTGAAACTCACGAGGGGGGTGGGGGGCAGTAGGTGGCATGATGACTGAGGCACCGGACTCCCACATGGCAGAGCATGGTTTGAGTCCTGGACCTGGTGGCTTGGTTTCTCACTTGCGCTCTCTCTCTCTCGCTCGCTCTCTCTCGCGAGCATGTGTGCCCTTAGCAAGTTGAAGAATAAAGATAATGATTAATAAAATTAAATAAATGATTCTATAAAAGAAAAGAAAAAACTCATGCCAGACACATGTGCATGCATGCCTGAACCCCAAGAGGAGAACGGAAAGGGGCTGCAGCGTGGCTATCACCGCCAGGGGGTGACTTCTCGCCTTCTCTCTCTCTGTCTCTCCAGCGAGCACACATGACCTATAAGCAAAAAAAAAAAATCTTCCTTACCCTAAAGAATTATTTAATTTTGTTATTATTATTATTATTATTTTGACCAGAGAGAAAGAGAGAGAAAAAGAAAAAGGTAAAGAGAGAAAGCAAGTTGCCAGGTCCGGGACTCGAACCACAGTCAGCCATGTGGGAGTCCAGTGCCCCTAACTGCTACGCTACTGTTGACCCCCCAAAAAATCTCTCTTTAAAAAAAAAACAACAACAAAACAAAACAATGTCACGGGATAAGAGTGCTAGGAAAAAGCATTCGAGGAGGGGCCAGCCCGTGGCCTGGTGGTTAAAGGAGGCCGGCCCCCACCTGGCTGACTCCAAGGTTTGAATCCCAGCCCCAGCAGCTTGAGAAGCACCAGGCGCATGTGTGTGCCTGCTCGAAATCCCACCAGGATGGCGGAATGGAGAAGGGGTGCGGCATGAGCACACTCCGCTGGGGGAGCCCCCGGGCACACACGCTCTCGTTCTCTCCTGTACACGACCTTTGGGGGCTAAAAAAGTGGAAGGTCCAGGAGGTGGTAGGATAGTTAAGGTGTGGGCCTCCCACATAGCTGACTGTGGTTCAAGCCCCTGACCTGACCTGGCAACTTGCTTTCTCACATTCCCTCTCTCTGTCTGGTCAAATTAAAATAATAGATTAATGAAATAATAATAGATTAATTAAAATAATAAAATAATTAAAACAAATGGAATTCAATAAATGTTTTTAAAGTAAAAAAAGAAAAAAAAAAAAAAAAACCAGGCCTAGGAGACCCTGGAGGCTGAAGGGCAAGCGACAGGAATAGAGATGGTGGGGGAGACCCCGGAGGCCGGAGCAGCAGCAGCCGGGCTGAGCTGGAATCCCAATCAGCTAGACCCAGCTCCAGGCACACGGACGCCACCCACCGCGGGGCAGTCTCCCGCCGCAACAGGTGAGGCAGCAGCTGCCACACGGCCACCTGCTTCCTGAGGCAGCCAGGCGCGACCTGCCGGTGGGGAAAGGGGAACTTCGGCACGCCCTGGAGAGCCCTCCCGCGTCCACAGGGTTCAGAATCAGGCCCGCCCTCCTCAGTCACACCACGGCTGCTGAGCTCGAGCATCAGCAAAACCGAGCTGTCTCCAGCGACGAGTGTCTGCACACACTGGGTCATCCGAAAGGCCACCAGTACTGCTCCATGCAGAAACGCGTCGTGACTTTGCGGACGACTGAGATAAAAATGAAGGGATGCGCTGGAACTAGGGGCCGGGGACGGCTGAGTCCTGTTGGCGTGTACGCGCTTTTGCTTTCCGGGTTCCCTCCAGGTGTTTGCTATGGAGCGCGTGTGCTCACCAGGGAGGGAAATAACTCCTTCGCCCCGCCGCAGTCCCGTCTCCACAGTCTCAGGATTCTGGAGACGCACGGGCACACCCACACGTACCTGGTATGCTTTACCAAGCTGCCGGGTCTAGGACTCGAACCGTGGAGGTGACCATGAGACCCAGTACCTTAACCACCATGCCACCTGCCGGCCAGTCCGCTCTTACCTGTTTGCTTTTTTATTGGTATTATTATTTTATTGAACTTTATTTTATTTATTTATTTATTTATTTATTTAAATTTGAAGAGAGAGAAAGTGAGAAAGCCAAGCCGCCAATTCTGGGACTCGAACCGGGGTCGGCCATGTGGGAGTCCACTGCCCTTAACCACCACGTTACCTGCCGGCCCCAGCCCTTACCTGTTTTCTAAAGAAAGCTCCTTTCCGGGAACCAGCAGTTAGCATAATGGCTATGTTGCTGGACTCCCACGTAGTCGACCGCGGTTCGTGTCCCGGACCCGGTGGCTTA